AAAGGAGGAAAGGTTGGGGCTTTTGTCCTGACCTTCCCTGCCTGGATGCCTGGGGTGGCTTCCCAACTGACTCTCTGCCCAGCTCTGCTATCTGTAAAGTGGGGAAATAATGCCTACCTCATCAGGATGTTGGAAGAATTACATAAGTCATTTGAAAAATGTTTGAAAGATGGAAAATGCTGACATTCTGCTGGAGGAAGTAATTTCTCATGCTTTTGGGTGGTTGGTTTTTCGTTTGGGTTTTTTTTTTCTTTTTTTTTTTTTCAGATTCAAGTCATGAATGCATGAGTAAGCGAAAATCAACTGTCATTCCAAAGGCCTGAAAAGCAGGTTTTATAACTATAACTCATTTTTTTAAATAAACTACTCAGCCAGGGTTGTTCAAGACTTCACCAAAAGGTAAAATTTTAATTACAAGTCTCTGTGTGTGTTTATCATCTGCTTTGCCAAGCTAAGTAATTTTTGTCCAGGGGTGGGGTGGAGGAAGATGCTATAGTCTCAGGCCAAAACAATTTTCTTTACAGCTTGTGCACCACTTAGTATTTCTGTTGGTTTGTCAAACACATGCAGTTGCTGCTCTTCAAATCCAGCCATCTAGGAGAGACTATATCTGCAGAAAATCCTAAGGGACTGCCATGGGACATATACAGTTCCAGGGACTAAAAGCTGCCCTGGTCCCAAAGCAGGGACACAGTCCATGGAACTGTGCCAAGGAAAGGAGGTCTTTTTTTTTCTTTCTTTCTTTTTAATATACCTCATACATCACTAATCTCATGTATTTAATTTTGAAACAGTATTTAATACCAGAATTACAGGCATGGATCTATTTTCCTCCTCCCCCAAATATTAAATGAATCCCTTTGAAAACTAAGCAACAGCTCCAATTTTCTCTAAAAATAAATGGAGAAGGGAAAAAGTTAATAAACAGAAAATTAAAAGGGATTAAAAATTAATCCCTGGAATTCATTACTCCTAGAGAGTTAAAGAAAGAGAGCAATAAGATTCGTAAGTATTAGACTTTTATGAGCACAACGACATAATTTCTGGTTTTGTGAACCAGCTCACAGTGAGGAGGATGAGCCGGCCTACGCTGCGGTGCGTAGCTGGGGATGGGAAGGGCTCCTTTACAGTGGGGAGCACTGCACTCTCACAGGGTTAGGGCAAGGCAGCTAAGGGCTTGCAGATGCTCAGCATGATCCTTCAGGTGGGTTTTCAGAGCGGAGAAACACAGAGTTTCAAAGGGAGCTGAGCCCCCAGCCTTGCTGATGGAGGCCTTTCACTATGACTGTGTCCAGCAGAGTCCATTGTGTAGTGGGGCTGAGTCTGTTGTGTCCATTACAACGGCAGTGGCATGACTAGGCTCTTTTTATGTCCTCCTGAGGGCCCCTCAGTAATTTAAGGTGATGAAGGCCTTCGAAACCTCCATGACTTCCTTGAAATCAAAGCGTCCCGGAGGCCACCTGTCTGAAACCCAGCTCTGGTGCACAGGAGGGGCCATCTGGATTTCAGATACGTGGAGGAGCAGCAGAGGCTCAGCACCACCTGCCAGAGGTCCCTCACTTCAGGCTTCTCTCCTCATACAGTCAGTGGAGACAGTGTACCCCTTGGGGGCCTCTCACAAATCATCCCCTGCCACGGGCCTGTGTCCCACCCTTCGGTGCGAATTGTCCTGAGCTCAGAGCCAAGTTGGATGCCCAAAGGGAGCCTGTGAGCTCTCCCTTCCCCTCCTCGGGCCCCGAGAAAAAAGATTTGCGTGGGGAGGGGATGGCAGGGGTAGCTGTGAAACTGTGCAGGTACTCAGCCCTGCGAGCCCGTCCCCAGAGTCAGCGTTGATTGACTGATGATGGACATTGCACCCTGAACGGGCTGGGCCACCCTGCGGGCCACCTTGCCGTGTTCACTCCTTGGGGCAGAACCACAGGGCAGGAGGATCACTCATCTTGTAACTACTTCCCTGCGTTTGTACAGTGATTTTGTCTGATTTAGTGATTGTTCGTAGCAGTCCAAGCTACAGTTTCCTTTTTCCTTTTTTTTTTTTCATTTTGAATTGAAAGCTGGTTTTATCTTGTCCATTGAGTGAAACAGTAAATAATACGAGAGTGGCTACTCGTGCCTGTTGTGTAAATATATATGAAATTATGTTATGTCACCACAAATATGGTGCCTGAAGTGCAAATGGATTCTTCTAAGAAAATTCAAGGCAAACTCGCATCCAAATTATTATTTATGCATCTAGGTTTTAAGTTCTATTTTTTCCTGCAAATTAGACAGATTTAGCATCTCTCACACAGCAAGAAGAGTTCAATTCTGTCTTTTCTTCTTGCTTGGCAGTACCACAAAGTGCAATTTATAAAATCAGTACTGCATATTAAACATTGAAAGTGCCATATTGCAGTGAATACAAAACTTTGCAGTAGTATTTCTTTGTACCTTGTTGCATGCCGGCGTGCTAGATGATAGAAACGAGTATTTAAACGACGCTTTCACACAATGCTATAATTGTCGTTTATAGATAAAGAAGTATTAGGTTACGGGCTATGAAGTGGGTCTCAAGGCTGTTTTAAGCCTGCTCTTCTGACAACCACACCTCTTTGAGAGGAAGAAATATTATTAGGAAGTTTAGCTAAGCCAGGTAGATGAGCAATGCAGTTGGCTTTTAATTTGGAAAAACATCTGATCTAACAACAGGGGACCTGTTAAAAGATGCTAAGGCATTCAGCGGAATTAACGTCCTACAACGGAGCGTTTACATGGGAAACGTTTCCAGCCTTGGTACTGCAGCCAGTGACATCTCTACACTTGAACTGGAATAAGTTTTCTAGAATAACTATTCCATCCTAGCTCCCAAAACAGCCATCGTATTCCAGCAGAAGAATGATTATTTCAAGTTGAAACCAATTCTGTCCCACAGTATGGGGGGACACAGCAGCACATGACTCCGCCGCGGGTGTGCCAGGACATCTCTCTGTGTAGACAGGCTCTTGGAAGAGAGCTGAGGCAGAGACTTGCAGCGAGCTCCGAGCAAAGGAATTTGGGGGTTTCCACAGGGCTCTACTGACAGTACCACAGGACTGGAACGTGATCCCAAACCTCACGTTGACAGATACGCTGTCTAACCTTGAGAAAAAGAAATTATCTGTGTGTTTCAGTTATTACTTGCAAAAAAATGCTGGGAAAACTTCCAAGTAGAAGAGGAACACTTCACCTGTACCAATACCAATATTTTCTGTATTTATTATAAGAAACAGATATATTTTTCTGGGTTTTTTTTTTAATTGTTATAATTTCATTAGTTGTCAGACCTTACTTCATTCTATGGACAGGTATTTCCTGCTGTAAAACGTGAATGGGAGAGGCAACTTTCCAATGATCCAGTTTTGGAAGTAGCAGGCTACATCACAAGGCACACCACTTCCATTTCTCTGTCACAAAACAAACAAAAACCTCCACAAAAAACAACTAACTGAAAATTTGTAGTACCACAGAAAGCAGAATGGTCATAAAGAAGTAGAGCAGGGAGAAATGGCTTTGGGAATGTGTGTCTCCACATGCACAATATGAATAAAAAAAAGGGAAATAATGGACGTTGGAAGCTGGCCATGTTTCAGGATCAGACTTATCCACATTGAGCAGGGACAACAGTGTATAGTCACTTCTAATACTCCCAGATTTCCTACAGCAGCCAGAGGGATATTTACATGGGTAAGAGGAAATACATCCTCTTTTTCAGACCAAGCAAATTAAATCCATTCTGTGCAAATCTCTAGGAAAGAAAGTCCCTTGGTCGTGATCATTATTAACACATGTTAAATTTCTGCAGCAGGCCTATCATGATGGCCTTCTGCAGGGTGAATTACGGGCAGCCATTCTGAGCAGGTAACTCTCTGCAAACACCACCATGTTAGCTCTTCCTGCCACCATCTGTTTTAAATCTCTCCATGTTTCCTTTGGCTGTAGGTAGTACTGAAGTGTTTCAGAAGACCACTGTCCTGACCGGATGCTGCCATCCCCTGCCCAGTTGCGTTTCAATTAAAACTGAGCTCCCTTGTCAAATGAGAGATGACAAATTAACAGTCCTTACGCTACTTCCAGGGAGTACAAATGATGTTCTAAGTTGTGAAAGGCAAGGTTTTTTCCAGCCCCTCTAGATCTGTGAAACAGCAGCCGCCTCCTATTAATGTCAAAGCCACAATGACTTTTATTT